TTGTTACACGGCGGTATGTGAAAAGTTTTCTGCATTTTTATGATTCCAAACAATGTTGGCTATGCACGATGGAGTGAAATTTTATAATGAGAGTTCTGATTTCAGATTACTATTGCTGATCTAATCTATGTCCAGTCTCCTTCCACACTTGGTCACACTTCCTTTAGATCATCCTAGAAGCATTAATTCATTTTAAGCCTTGATCAGAGAAGCTATTGGAGTCATTATTATCCTAGAGATCTCTAGCTCTTTTATTCCAGTGCTTGTATCGTGTAATCCTTCTTATTCAAGTCTTAACATACATGCATTACATATGCTTTCCTGTGGGAAATTCTCTCTCTTTGCAATGAATGTTGATTGAAATCCATAAAAATTTGAAGAGCAAAAAAAATTGTCTTATGAGTAAACAAAGCAACAGTAAGTCGAAACTTTTCTGTAAAATGCCTTCGTTATTCTTAAGATTTTCTTTTCTGGTTTATTTTTTGTGGGGTGACTGAGAAAGGACAATGATTGCTATACTTCGAACAGTTTTTTTTATACATATGCATGTAGGTTTGTCTTCTATGCTGGTTTTTGTCTGTGTGATTGATTCTTAGAATCTTATACTGGAAATTTTTGTTCTTTCCTTATCACAATACTGCTTTAATGGCTAAAAGGTTACTTTATTTTATGTAGGTTCTTAAAGGACATATATCTTTGGGTAACGCCAGGTTTCCTAACGGAACCAATGGTATGATTATGTGTCATAATGATACTCGATGTCTGTAATTTACTAAATTTTCTTCAGTGATTGTTAGATGTACCAATGCCTAAATCCACAGGCTATTATTCAGAGGCATATGCTTACCATTTTCATTTCATTCAAATGCTGTGGCCCAAGATAGTTCGCTTATCAGAACATTGTGCTTGACTACTCTTGATAGGGCAAGCTCTTGACATTCTTGCTCGAATTCCTTTGTGGAAAGATGGTCTTGACTATAGGCATGGTACTGGACACGGGATCGGGTCTTACTTAAATGTCCATGAAGGTAAACTTGCCATCGTGATTGTAGAGGTACTTGTAAGGAGCAATTTATATTTACATTTAATTTATTTTTGGCAGGACCTCATAATATTAGTTTCAGGCCATCTGCACGGGATGTGCCACTACAAGTTTCAATGGCTGTAACAGATGGTCGGTAGCATCTTATTACATTATGAGTTATAAAGTAAACTTTTCCTTAGCATGATTGATGCCTCTGCATACTTGAATGTATTTTCACTCTTAACATGGATTAGTGAGTTTGTCATGCTTCTTTATGAAGGATGTGCATTAGTAAATATCCTATCCTAGCATAGTCGGTCCTGAATTTGCTTACTGGAGATCTACAACTTACAGAACTGATATGATCAGGGAAAATGTAATGTTCTTTGAGCTATACTAGTAAAAGAATGGCCTGTCAATAAAATTAGGATAAACCACGTCATACCGTCATGTTGTCCAGCTTGCTCAATAATCTATTAGTTTTACCTTTCTAGTTGCTTCTGCACATCTTTATAGTTTTTTTGTTTCAGCTTTCAGAGTTTGAACATTCATATGGTATTTTTCAGAACCCGGTTATTATGAAGACGGGAACTTTGGTATAAGAATAGAGAATGTTCTTATTGTCAAGGAGGGCAATACGAAGTTCAACTTCGGTAATAAGGGCTACTTATCATTTGAGCATATAACTTGGGTAAGTTTGTAAACACCATGTTTTATGTCTATTTACATATGTGATATGCATCTACCTGGATGTTCTAGATGTACAAGTGTGTGGTGCGATTGCACTTTTGCAGTCCAAGAGGAAGCAAGACATTCTCTGTCCTTTTCCCTTTGTATCTTTTTTAAAACTTGGATTTTCACTTTCCTATGATATATGTATGTCATTTCCTAATTCTATAGGTTGGAAGTGTAATGTGTCATGAAGGTAAGAATCTTGTTTGTTAATGTAGGCACCGTACCAGAGGAAACTAATTGACGTGAGCCTTCTGGTGCCTGAAGAGATTGAATGGTTAAATGAATACCATGCAAAATGTAGGGAAATTCTTACTCCTTACCTGAATAAATCTGAGATGGAATGGCTGAAGAAGGCTACCGAACCCATTGCAGCTTGACATGCCTCATTTGTTAGGGGATTGGAGTTGAGGTTAATCAAAGGCTACTGATCCTTCTCCAGCTTCAGCCTTCAAACCCTTAATCATATGTAGTTAAACCATGTATTTGCGTTAATGTGTGCAGGCATTTTACCATATTATTGTTGCCTTGTGGAGATGAAAGATTTAGCTTCTGTCGATTCAAAACGGGGTGATCTGTTGGTGCACATCAAGAAGATGCGACAAGTCTATGGTGCGTTTCGACAGAGTTAATATCGTAATTCATTTTTGCGGGCTCGCTTGTTTTATTCATCTCATTCCCCTCACTTTGTTTTATTGTATACAGCTCCCATTATCTTTGAACTCTTTCATTAATTGGTAACAGCTACACCAAATCTCAAACAACTTTTAATGGGCACATAAAGTTTTCTAAAGGTAAACATACAGCTGGAGTCTAATTTAAAGTCCTTAGCTTTTAACAAAAATTATTGTCAAACGCAACTTCATAAATTTTAAAAAATACTTATCTATGTGACCAAAAGTCGCATTTAGAGGTCAAATTTAAACTTTATGCGTATGTATCCTATAATGAATCATCTTGAAATAGCTGGGAAGCTTAGCTCAGTGAGTTCAAATTTTTTCTAAGGTTGTTGGTTCGGTTCTCCCTATATTAGTATTTCCATCCCTAGTGTAAACGGTTTAAGGTTATTTTTGTTCTTTGCCGTACCAGGCATGACAAGACGAGTTAAGGTTAATCTTTTTCATAATTTGAACCTCTTTGATGAAAATTATATCTAATCAGTATTTATAAATCAATTTAACGAGCGTAGTCAAACACATTGTGTATACTCTTAACAATCATCGATTAGATATACTGATCATGCTGGTATTTGTCAGAACACTTCAATTAGTTACATGTCATCTTCACAGTTACGTTCACACCCAAATATTTCAGATTATGTAAATTGCAGTCCACCAGCTTTATTTCAAGCATGTGAACTATTCTAGATGGGCACCTCTGACGAAAAGCACGTGTAATAAAGTATTATGATATGATAGGCATTTCTAAACATGATATGCATGTTTACCAGAAATATTAGGCAATTCTTCTTTACTTCTTAATCATTTTCATTTTTTGTGGTAATTATTTAGTCTTGGCATCTCCATTTTTAGATCTCTTTGGAAGAATGATCAAATTGGTCTCTCATGTTTTAGATTTGAATAAACATGTTAAATATTAGGTGGAATGACCTGGGAGACCCTCGTACTTGGCTCCGCTTGTAAGTTGGACCCTTGTACTTATGACTTTGCCAACTGAATCCTTAAACTCATTCAAACACAATATTTTAATTCTCTTTCTCACCAAATGTGTGTGCATGTATTACACTCGTTTTACACATGAAATTCCTCGTTATTTTTTAATGACACATCAGTAGTATTATTACTTTTCAATGACACATCAGAAATTAAATATTTAAAATTAAGTAATATCTTTTTAAAAAAGGTGCAAATTTTTCCATCTCTCACTATACTCATTTTCCATATTCCACTTCATCTTCTTCCTCCCCACCCTCTACCCTTCACCCCAAAAATAAAAATCACCATTTTTCGTCATCTTCACACTCAAAAATTTTCTCAATGACAAAATGTGATAGATTATAATTAGCTCTTACACATATTTTTGGGTTCTATTTATTTAGATTTGGTAAAAAGATAAATCAAGAAAACTTTAAATTGAAAATAAAATATGTTTATAAGTAAATTCAAGCAATAGATCTTGAAAAATTAAGTTTTAAAAAAAGTGAATGAGATATTTTTTTTAACAAAAGCTTTTTATTATGATTATTGTAATCTGGGGCTGGGCTGAAGAAGAATAAAAAGAGAGAAGGGGTGGGGGTGGCGATGGGTTGGGTGGGCTGAAGAAGGAGTTTTTGATTATTTTTTTTAAAAAATTTATTATTATTATTATTATTATTTTGTCTTATAATTTTGAGATTTTTAAGATAAAAAAATTGTATTCACTTGCTTCAAAACGTATGTGATCACGCGTTTGTCCAACTCAACCATTTTAAAATAAGCTCGGTCAATGGTCAGAGGGTTTAAAAAATAGAGTTTCATTATGTTTAAGAGTTCATTTGGCAAAGTAACGAGTATAAGGGTTCAATTGGCAAACATATACAAGTGCAAAGGCCTCTCAGGTCATTCCGCCTAAATATTACTAATAGATTTCGTAATGATCAATGTAAATCTTATCATTACCCTTTCTACTTTTATTCCAGTATCATCGGACATCTGCTGTAACTCTTCATCATATATATATATATATTATATTATATGACAAATTTGGCCTTAAGAGATCGATTTTTTTAATGTACAAAAATCAGAAATGCAAACCAACCTATTGCAAAAAATATTGCAAGAACCGACCTTGGTTTTACCAACCTCGGCTATTCAGTTTTCACTGTTTCGTTAAGTAATGGTAACTCAAGGAAGTTTGGACAAAATGTCACCTTTTGTAACTTTTTTTTTGGGTTGATATCTGCAGGTTGGGGTCTATACCTAATCATCCAGCGGTAGGTGGGTTTATAAGGGGAAAAAACTTGTACTGACGTGGCTTAGCTTGTGCTAGTGAATATTCTTAATTCAGTAATTTCCTTCAACCACGAATCAACTTTATAACTGATCTCAAGATTGCTTGCAAGCGATTAAAGGAGAATAAATTCACTGAATGATATTGCTTTATTATAGTGGTAAATTCTATTCGAAGCATGCATACTGTAAATTATAGTAGCACATAATAAACAACAAAACATAGACCATTTTAGGGTAATAAAAATATATATAGCCCTAATCACTCATTATCTTACCCTTTTTAGATAGTTTACTCACACATTAATGTTCTTGTAACCATGGATTGATCTCTTCTCAATGTCTTTGAGGACTTGACACATTGAATCATGAGAGGAGCCTCCTACACTTAGTGCTTTCTCTGCACTCATCTTCAGTTTCTTCACATTTTCCTTCAATTCCTTTCCATCTTTATATTGCATTACCATTCTCACCAATTGCTCTATTTCTTCCCTTTCCACCACTTTCTTTGTTGGCAATACCTTTGGCCTAACAGCCACTCTAAGTTCCTCCGTAAGCATAGTGGCATTTTGTCTCTGTTCAGCATATAATGGCCACGCAATCATTGGCAAACCATTTGTTATACTCTCAATGCTAGAATTCCATCCACAGTGGGTCAAAAATCCCCCAACTGATGGGTGGCTCAAAATTCTTGTTTGGTCCGTCCACATCTGAATCACCAATCCAAAATCTTTGGTCCGTGTTAGAAAACCTTCAGGCAAGTACTCAGGAGTGTTGTCGCCCCGATTTCCAGTTGTGAAAAATGACTTGTCTGCACCGACCTCTGACGGTGGCCTCACCACCCAAATGAACTTCTGATGACTTAACTCTAGTCCAAAAGCTAACTCAGTTAACTGTTTTGACGAGAGGGTCCCACCACTCCCGAAAGATATGTATAGCACTGAATTAGGAATTTGTTTGTCCAACCAATTTAGGACAGAATTGTTACCATCATCATCTCCACTCCGGCCATCAATGATTTGTTGGTCATGTCTAATCAACGGTCCAACCGGATAAACCGGTGACTTCACGATAGCTTTTAATATATCATTTTCTCTTAACGCTTTGAGTGAACCGGTCTCCGCGTCTTCCCAAGTGTTCATCAAGATCCCATCCGACAAACAGAACCCGATCCCATGTACTTTCAAGTACTCGCGATAATCCTGTTCGTTGCGGTCCAGCATTGGATCGTTGACGTCTTCCGGTCGAACCGGTTTGCAACCTGGGATTTTCAACGGCTCCTTCTGATCTACATATTGACCCTCAATTTCTTTGTCAAGGAACGGACAGTAGACAGTCATAGCAGTAAACCATGCATTCGTTGGAATATAAACATAATTAGGTAATTCAAATTCTTTGGCAATTGGCAAGGCTTCAGTAGTGAAAATATCAACAATGAGAGCGTCCAGAAGATGCTTCATTGCAGATATCACGGACTTAACAACATGCAACGTTTCACGTATAAGTATGCAAAGTTGAGTGACTATTTTTGTGTTGGAATCAATAAGGTTGGATATATCTACACCTGGTATTTCAACTACATCAATCATCTTCGATTTATTGGCCGATTTGAGAATCTCAGTTTCAGCCAGAGAGCTGCCGGAGGTGATAACAAAAACAGTGACAGAGACGTTATGGAAGGTGGCGAGGCGGTTGGCGAGGGTTACTACAGGGATGATGTGGCCTAAGCCTGGACTTGAGAGTATACCAATATGAAGTGGTTGTTTTGAGCTACCCATAGTGATCAAAAGAATTGTGAATTTTGGTATAGTAGAGAATAATTAAGATGAGATGAAGGTAATAAAAATGAAATGAGTAGATTTATATATTTATAGAGCATGCAAATGCAATGTTTGTTAATGACTTTTTCACCTATTTATTTGCTCGCAACCTTCAGGTTGGAAGTGAGGGGTGCTTACCATCCGAGCAACTCTCTCATCATTTCATAGTTATTAACTTACTATATATAATTAAAAAAATAACAACAATTCACTCTTTCCATAGATGAAACAAAAATGAACCCGTCTGGCCATAATATTTTCTTTCTAGGAAATTTAAATGTATTTCAAATTTGAAAAATAACATATAACATGTTTTTCAATTCACTTTTCATTTTGAAGATGTATTTCAAATTTGAAAAATATTTATTGTGTATATATATATATCAAATATTTTTTGCAAAAGTTATAACCATACGCAACTTCATAAATTTTGAAACATACTTGGAAATATATTAATTAAGCAAGTGCCTTCCCTTTCCCCATGGAAGCAAATTCCAACTAAACAACAATTTATATTAATTATAAGATGGAGGATAGTTTTGACTCAACTAATTAATGACACCTTTTCGAAGTTGCAATCAAGCATCTGAAGTTGTAAAATGTCCAATAAAGAGTTGTTATTATCCTTCTTTTCTCCGTCTATTTGGATTAGTGGATGGTAAGTAATTGATAAGTCTTAAGTGTCGAAAAATAATTTTAAATATCTAAACTGATTTTATAATTGAATAAGCAATTATGTATTTAAATAAAGTATTAAAAATACTAATAAGAAGTTGATGTATTTGACAAAAAAATTCATAAGTTGTTCTTATCTTTTCTTTCATTCTTTTTAAAAAAAATATCCTTGTAAAAAAAAAAAAAGAGGAACAAGCTAAGGGATATAAAGTAAAAAAAAATAGTTAAGAAATTTATTTTGAAAAAGATATTTTGAGCAGTAGAAAAACAATGAAGCATAAAATAGTAAAATATTTAGTCAAAACCAAAAGCTTTTTTATATATAAGCTGAAAAGTTATAAATTGGAGATGATTAACTTATGATTTTTAATTGATTTTGGCTTATAAATTTTTTGGGTGTTTAGTTACCAAACGTATAAATACTTAAGCTAGTGCAAAGCTAAGAGGGAACTCTGGGGAAGAAGGGAGTTCATGGTCAAAAAAATTACACGACATATATAACGATCCTATATATAGTGAATCCTCCTGACGAAGCTTGAAAAGCTTAACTTAGTGGCAAGTGGAGTTCAAGTTTTCTAAGGTTGTTGATTTGATTCTCGCTATATTAGTAATTTAATCTTTACTTATAATGAAAGGGAAAAAAATCATTAGAAAGTTTTTTAAAAACATAGATGCAAGACATAACAACGTGAGTTAAAATTTAATGGGTTTAGATTAATCTTACATTTGACATATTTCAAATAATGTAAATTACTGTCCCACTAGCTTTATTTCAAGCATGGCGATTTACTCTAGGTGGGACACCAGCACGTTAATAATTGGAGTGACAAATTTTCTTTTTTCTTTTTTGTGAAAATTATTTAATTTTGACATGGCCGGCTAAAGGGTAAAGCAAGTAGAACGTGTGTTTTAGGTCTTACCTATTTGGTCCCAACATTTACCCACATTAAAATTATTTAATTTGTACTGAATATTTTAAGTAAAAAAATATTTCAGTACATTTTAATTTACTAGACAATTTTATTTTATTAGTTAATATTTTAAAAATAATAAATTTAATATTTCAAAATAAATCATTTAAAACCTTCTAAATTTTTTATTTCACACAAATGTTATATACCAACAGAAACTTTTATCCTCTAAACATTTAAGATTACAAGTTTTATAGATTTTTTTTAAAAATAAATAAAGTTTGTATCATGTCAAACTATCATATAAATAAATTAGAACGTACTAAATACACTTTCTACAAATGAAAAAAAGAAGAAGATAACATTTTAGATTTTTAGTTGATTTTAGTTCTCTCTCACTTTTTGAAAATCCACTAAATTTTCAAAGTGTTTTTAGCTTAGTAGTCAATGGAGTTCAATTTTCCTTTTAAGGTTGTTAGTTCGATTAAAGTAAGAAGAAAGACATAATAAAACGAGTTAAAATTTAACGTGTTAACATTAATCTTATCCTTCGCCGCATTGCTCCGATTTTCTTCACTTTTTATAAATCAATTTAACAAATTTATAGACTTAGTCAAACACAATATAATTTATACTCTTGATAATCAACGATCAGATCTTAGTGATCATACCAATATTTGCAAGTACACTTTAATTTGCTACGTATCATCTTCACACCCAAATATTTAAGATTATATATATTAATTGCGGTCCCACCAGCTTTAATAATCGATCTACTCAATTGGGTATCTTTAATGAAAAAACCGTTAAGAAAGTATTCATATATGGTGGGTGATATGCATGCATGTTTACTAGAATTTTTTTATACAATTAAAATATTAATAGTATTTTCAATGATTTTTTAGAACTTCAAATTCAAATAAATTATATTAAAAAATTTAAAACTTAGATTTGTAATTCTGACTTAGATGCATGGGATATTGATTTTATCGACAAAAAATATATAGCAAAAGAATCAAAATTAGCACCATCTAATACTTTTTTTTTTATGTTAGAATTGTAATAATTGAAAATTTATGAATTTATTATCCATTTGAATGCATTTTTTTTATAGAGTTATTATATGGTAATAATAATAAAAAAAATAGATTTAACGGAACAAAAAAAGGAAGAAATATATACACTTTATAGTAGATAAATAAAACAAGAGCAACTTTCACATATAGCAAACACAAAATTCATATTTGTATGTTATAGCAAAGTTTGCATAATTGCGCTCCATAGCAAACATATATATGTATAATTTGCTATACATATACAAAAAAAAACAGTTGTATAATCTGCTTTGGTATACATATACAAAAAGATCAATTGTATAAAGTGAGAGAG